ATACATGAAAATGTCTATCATCAATGTCCAAACACACATGTATACACTATGAATATAATGTAGTTCTATCAAAAGCCCACACACATGCATAGAATTACACCCACACATAAATCTCCATTTTCCTCCTCTTCACTAAAGAGTTATTTTTGCCATTATATTTTTGAATTATATGGAAATTTCCTACTATAAATTATCTTATTTACTTTTCTCATTATTGATTACACTCTTAAATAGATATTGCCAGAATCCATAAATTCATTTTTGTTTCCTGATGTAATTCAATAGAAAATCCACTGACCCGAGTTGATATTTTTTGTGTGGGTGTAAGGACGGGATTATATTAACCCTGATGTTTCAACTAATATTTATAGAATTCAATATCCAGTCACCTTCCAAGAAATAAAGTTAAAAATTTATATGATTTAATATTTGATTATATTAAGGAATTACTGGGTTTAATTTAAGAATATTGATGTCTGATTGTTTTAAGATAATGTCTTCAAATTTAGAAAGGATTAGAAATTTTCTAAGAAACCACATGCAATAATCTTAACTTTTAGGTGGCACACAAGTTTTTACTGATTTTAAAAAAAGTAGAATTTTGCTTTAAAATAAAATATCAAATAAAACTATTCATAGCTTTAAAGATATTTTTTTTTTTTTGGTAGGTAAGGAAATTGAATTTTCAAATGTTTTTATAGATATTTTCTTAATTAAGATTTTTAATTTGAGCTTCTCAGAAAATTGCAAAATTTATTTATTGAAAATTTCAAAATAACGGTTTTTGAACACCTTTTGTTATTTTTAATGAGGGAAAATACTAGTTTATATCAAAGGATGCTGAAAACAAAAAGAAGCCTTTCCCAAAATAAAGTTATGGTGTTTGGTCATTTGATTTTTTAGGAAGAGAGTTAGGCCAAGAACTTTTCTGCAGCACTTGTATATAGTGATTTTGATGGGGATTGTATTTTTACAATATATTTCCTATTTCTAGATAAAATTACTTGTAATACAGAAAGATTAAGATAAAATTATGAATTTTTTTTCAAGTAAATAATTTTGCTTATATACAGACACGTTAATATATTTTAGTAAAAATAGTCAACCTATATCTTTTGTTTAAACAAATATATAACTTAAGAATGAACTTACAAAATAGGTTTGTTCTAAATATAATTGTTAAAATAAATTTCAGATATTCTTTCTTGCCCAAATTCTCCAAGAGCATAAAACAGGTTCTACACTTCAATCTTTTGATATTTACAGATCTGTATAAAGAGAAACTTGTTATCTTGTTAACATGAATGCCTCAAACTACCTTCTACATTTATGTATATTTTTTATTTTGATATTGCTGATTTAAAAAAAAAAATTAAATTCAGAAAAATAACATTGACCACTGAAAGAATAATTTTAAAATATCTAATAATAATTTAAAATATATCTCAAGCAACTACAGGTAAATTTCCTGCTACAAATTGTCTGAATTTTAAGTGTCAGTTCTAATATCATGTGTGAGTAGATATGATTGATTTATTTTTTTATTGGGATACATTCGTTGTCTAAGAGGAGGGGATTTTAAAATAGCCTGTGGTGTTAGTGAGCTTAATAAGATTCCTAAAAATTTAAAGACCCAACCAACTTAATAAAAGAAATTTCATTTGATAAAATCTTAATTAAATTCAATCGGTTTATCTTGCTTAGGTATAAAAATTTGCATATATTTGTTTTTAATGCTGTCTATAATTTTCATTTGAGATTTTTAAAAAAATTATTTTGTTGAGAAGAAAGTCATTTGTTTCTATCAAACAACAACTTTGACAGTTATCAACAAAATGAACTGTCAAATAGAAATAATCATGTGACATTTCATATAAAACAAAAAACAACAAAAAAGGTAAAAATAGTTTTATGCCGTCTGAAAAGGCGATGTTTTAATTTTCTAATAATGGTTTAGTCTGAATAAAATCCAAGTATGAGTCATTACTTTTATTATATTTTGAATGTTAAAGATAATAAAATGCCTGAAACTTAATAAATAACAACTGGTTTATTAATTAGGACCAATTTATTGTAGTCAGTGTATCCCAATTAGTCAGATAATGAGGCTTCCACAGCAGGAGAAAGCGGTGTTTTCTGCTTGACTACAGAGACTCTTGGCATCAATTGAGGCACACAATAAAGCAGTTCAATTCACAAAATTAAAAATCAATTCACATTTAGGGGAATTTTCAGAAACCAATATATTAATCCAAATATGAAGGAAATAAAAAATAAATTGAAAAAAAAAGGACCTCCTCCCAGAAATCAACAAATTTCAACAATTAACAAAAAATCAAATCTTAACAATTAAGATTTAAAATATTTATAATTCTACTGGATATGATCAATTACATTACCCAGTTAATTAATGTGTGTGTGGGAGTGTGTGGATAGTGATTAGTTTAGTTAATTTGTAGATATACATATTATACTAATAATATATATATATATATATATATATATATATATATAAGCAGGTATGCCTATCAAATATTTATCAGGTTTAGTTAGTTCATATATATATATCAGTTAAGGATATAAAGAACAAAGGTATACTTAACACTGAGGATTCTAACAGAATAAGACATAAGTAAAACATTATATTTTTTTTTTATTTTTTATTAATTTAGAATAGATACATAAAACAAAGCACCACCCCTAAAAAAAAAAACAATGTTTATTCAGAAACGGTTCAGACATGAGTAGACATGTAAAAGAAATTACAGGTATGCTTTTACTCATGCAGGTATTCACAAATACAATCTAGAAATTGATTTTTTTTTCTTTCTTTGATATCTAAACTATAAGGCTATATTTATAAAAACATGAACTATATCTATATTTTTGTATTCTTATTGTAGATTTAAGAAATATGTGTACTTGTGCCTTAATACAAAATTAAAAGTTGAGAAAATATATTTGTTTTCTCTATTACTATGAGAACTTGGGCGGAAGATGACCTTCACAATCTGAGGTCCCTGATACAAACCAAATTTTCAAAATTATTAGATTATAAAATCAAACTAAAAAGGACAAATCAATTCTGTAAATTAACATTCCATCACATCTTTTTTATGAATTTAATAGACTATTACTTTGTTAAATTTATTTTATTTAATAACCTTGGAATCTTATTTAATTCCTCAATTACTTCACCTGATCTGGTCATGAAGTTGTCATAATTAATAAAATAATTTAATCTTCAAGGAAAATCTTTCAGTTTGCATTTATTTAGTTACTGCATTTTTAAAAAAATTACATTATAAGAGGACACAGTTAAATTATTTTAAAACAATTTTATTGTTGTCATGATCAATGGAATTTTCTTTAATGGCTGAATTAATAGAATATTTGTTAGGGAATAAAATTGATTTGTTAGGATTTAAGATGTAAGAAAACTTTCATATCTTAAAAATAAAACCAGATAAGTAAAAGCAGACATTTCTCACACTTGTGATTTTTTTTTTGTCTTTAACTCTTTGATACAACCTTGTAACAAACTTGAGCACTTACCTTAAAAAAAAGCTTGGTAATGTATCCAAGATTTTAAAAATAGGATTTTGAAATTACTTTTTCAATATATTCTAAAATGGTTTTCATAAATTTTTTTTTCTTTTTAAATATTCCTTGTTTTTCTTTTCTTTTTATTTTGTAGTTTTGCAATTTTTAGCTCAATGTCTTTCAGTTGACAGCAATTTCCTGACTTTCTGTTAAAGCCACAAAAAAACAAACTTTAAATAGAAGAGTTGAAGTAAATAAAAATTCCTCTATTTGGTTGATATATATTTTCTTTTTTAATTTGTATAAGAAATAAGCCTGCAGTTATGTGGGTTGTGAGCCAGAGTTAAGACACATTGCCTGTGTATTCTGTGTGCAGAGTGTACTATGCAATCAAATGGAACATAATGTCTTGGAAAAGCTAGCCAGTAGTATTCCTGTGAATCTGATTGGTCTCTTCTTTGCCTCAATCTGATGTGTATGCTCCTACCCATGGATGCCTGTCAATATGTGTAGGTGTTCCTGTATCTGAATGTAGGCATTGATATGATTGATTCCATAAGAGTCTCTGTTTCTCTCTATCTCTTTCTTTCACTCTCTCTCTCTCTCTCTCTCTCTCTCTCTCTCTCTATCTATATATATATATATATATGTAAGCAAATGTAAATGGATATAGATCCGACAGAATGAAGAAAAATTTGGAAAAAACAAACAAAAATCCTTAAACATAATTGCATTTAAGGATTTTTGTTTGTTTTTTCCAAATTTTTCTTCATATATATATATATATATATATATATGTGTGTGTGTGTGTGTGTGGATCACTCTCTCTTCTTCCCTCACTCTTTCTTCCTTTCTTTCTTTTCTTTTCTTTCTTTCTTTCTTTCTTTCCCCTCTTCACTTTACTTCTTTCACTCTCTCTCCCTAAATATGTGTGTGTGTAAGTGCATAGATCACTCTCTCTTTTCCTCTCTCTTTTCCTCCCTAAGTATTTCTTCCTATCTCTCCCTCCACTTTTCTTTTCTTTCTCTCTCTCTCTATATATATATATATGTATATATATGTCTCTCTCCTCTCTTACTCCCTAACTATTTCTTTCTACACCCCCACTCCTCTCTCTCTCTCTCTCTCTCTCATATATATATATATATATATAATATATATGTAAATGTATGCATGTATGCACCACTCTCTCTCTCTCTCTCTCTTCTTCCCTCACTGTTTGTCTGTCTATCTGTTTTTTTTTTCTTTTTCTCTCTTCTGCCTCTTCTCTTTTCCTTCCTCTCTCTTTCTCTCTGTCTCTCTGGACATAAAAATCTCTTATATACAAGTTTTGTTATCATTCGTTTACACCTTTATTTTTTGCGGGGAGGGGACTTCCTTTCATTTCCAAGTTGTTCTTTCTCTCCATCAGTTGACATTTTACTGAAGGAATTTTGTGTCTTGCACCCCCACCCATTATGTTGACTGATCCCCAACCCCTACCAACAATAAGACATAAATGCCAATTCTCTTTTGTTGTATATTTGTCTCTCTTATTTCGTAAGCTTCCTCCTATTCCTCACTGTTGCCATTCGTCTCTCAATCTTGAACTCTTCAAGTGGTTTTTCAAAAACTCTTCCCTACTCTGTCCATCTTCCTGTTGTGATTTTTTTTTTTTTTTTTATTTTCCTCACTCGCTCTCTCTCTCTCTCTCTCTCCCTGATATTATTGTATCAGTAGTGTCGAGAAAAGCCTCCTCTTTCATTGATAACAGTAGCAGAGCTGATGAAGATAGTGATGGACGCTGTGTTATTGATGCAGGCAGTGGATGGTTGGAGAGAATACAAGGACTGGATACAATGCCAACAGAGTGGCTTGGTGTTCTGTTGCATATATGCACTAACCCTCTCCCTCCCCGACAGATCAATATCTTATCACTTTGTCTCTGCTTTGAACAAAACTTCATGAAGGAAGGAAGAGTCACTCATCTCTATCTACACTCAGTTGAGGCCGGAAGGAAAGAGACACTCATGTCTTAACCGATTCTCTCTTTGGAGGTGGGGAGGAAATATACAAATATACATTCTCTCCCACCTACACCTTGCCTCATTTTTGGCATGATTCTAATAAGATCACAGTTCTAACATGAAAAAGCAAAATCATGTAACTTATATATATATATATATATATATATATATATATATATATATATATAATATGAAAAATAAAAGATTGTGTTTTGTCTCCCAAAAATGGTTGACCAGTATATTCCTGAAGCATAATGCTTTTAAGTTGAGCAGTCATTGTAATTAAAGTGCTTAATATCAGGAGACAGAGAATTAATACCAAAAAATAAAATTAAATGTTCAACATATCTTTCCAAGTTTGGAGTCTCACAGACATGGTATCCACTTGTCAGAGATTTTGATAATAAAACTGAATTAATTTACATAAATCATATATTACTTTAAAGTTTTTTAATAGTAGTAGATAGGTTCACCCATCACCTGGTTCACATGCTTCACTTGTCTTTTGAACAGGAGTAGAGGTTTATCCCTTGTTTCCTGTTTAGGATTGGGTTTCCATTTCTTTGTAAAGTTTACTTCAATGCTATACTTCTGACTGAACTCTGAAATTTTATTTTCTATGTATTTGTTATCTTTTTTTTTTTCCCCCCCCTCAATAGGTGTAGATAGCTTTGCCTAACATCTGGTTCACATGCTTCACTTGTCTTTTGAACAGGAGTAGAGGTTTATCCCTTGTTTCCTGTTTAGGATTGGGTTTCTGTTTCCTTTTAAAGTTTTCTCATTCTATTTTACTCCTGGTGGCACCTTGCTAGGGGTGACTTTTATTTTTTAAATTGTGTAAATTTCTGCAAATTTTTGAGTGATTTTGCTAAGTTTTTATATATACAAATATAAGCTTTTCTATATTTTTACCTCTCTAAGCACTACACACACATTCAAGAGAGTGAACATTTATATCTACATAAAAACAATGTTTTATATATATATATATATATATATATATATATATATATATATATATATATATATATATATCTTTTATCCCTTTATGCTAATTTTAGTTTATGGAGGTTGTTTTAACTATAAATATGTTGCTTTGTCCTATCCTCTTTAGCCAGTTGTACAATGAATATCCGTTAGGTGAAATCTTGGTAGGTAGTTTCTGGCTCACTAGTGGATATATATATATATATATATATATATATATTCAGTTTGCCCTGAAGATCCGTTAAGGTGAAAAACCTTTGTAGGTAGTTTCTGGCTCGCTAGAATTTTTTTTTTATACTTTGCTCTACTTAATGTATTGAGCACCTTGACGTTTTTCTTAATTTACTTGATTGGTGTTTTTTTCCTTTTGGCTAGGCATTGAGGTGTTGGCTGATTATTTTCAACCAACATGGATGTTATTAGTCTTTTCATTTTTTCTAACTTTTTTGTCCCTGATATCAGTTTGTTTAATATATTTTTATTTGCAAATTGTACTAGCCGTTTTTTTTTTTCACTCCGTTTGAGTATAGGTATTAAAATAATAATAATTATATATATATATATGCGTGTGTGTGTGTGTGTGTGCATGTAAATTTCATTGAAAATGACTGACAAGTTTCAGTGATTGAGTTTCTTATATAATTTCTCATGTGTTCATATAATACACATGGAGACCTACCAAACTCTAACCATATCATACTCATCGATAATACAAATATAATAGCATCAAACACATGTACAAAAAGGCTAAAAATAATTGAAGCATTATTAATAAATAAAAAAAAACCCAACACTCAATAATACCAACTATGAACATGGCCACAATGTGCTGACCATGTTTGGAAAATAAAACATTGCTATAACTCCTCCTATACATACATAAAAAAATGAATATATTCAGTTACAAGTAAAATAAAATTCATCCTTGATAATGGCTAAAAGTATAACCAAAAGGCTTGGAAAACTTTCGGACAATTTTTATATAATTTATGTTCTGAAAAGGACAAAATTATATGAACTCGAGGAATTATATAAAAAAAAACTAAACTATTGCACCTTGTCAGTCATTTTCAATGAAACTTGCATAAAAGAGGGATTGCTTCGAAATACACAAAATATATATATATATATATATATATATATATATATATATATATATATATATATATATATGGGGGGATGTGAGATTGAGAAAGAGGAAGAAAATAACTCAAAGAAATTCTTTTTAGAATTGAAATGTTATTTATAGCCAATTGAAATTATACATAATTCTACATAGAGTTTGGATATTGAGATTTGACATTCTCTTCTATTCATTTAATAAGATTTGTGTAGAATAAAAGCATCAAGTCTCCAATTTGAAATCAATCACTAAAAATGTTCTAATTAATAAAGGTTTTCTTTTGTTGATCAGATTTCAGAGAAAACTCTTCTATATACAGACAGTTTCATGAGAAGATTCTGTAAGTATTTCTTTGAAAAAAAAAACAAAAACAAACTATATATATATATCTATATATATATAAAAGTGAACATTAAAGTCATGCACTTAAATGCAACAGTCTGTTTCATGATAAATGCAATTGTCAGTATGAAATTGCATTTAGTATGAAACAGAAACTTCAATGTTCACTTTTATATTACACATACTCTATCTCTGATATTGAGCACTTTATCCCATAAATATAGCACACCTTAAGACTATATTTCTTATATATATATATATATATATATATATATATATATATATATATATATATATATATATATATACACACACACACACACACACACTTTGAAGAAGCCGTTAAGATACGCTTTGAGCAGTTATGAGTGTTTGAGTGAAATCCTGGGAAGTTTGTATTTTAAAAGCAATAATTCAACTTTGCTAACCAGACGCTTTCTCTGTAGCTAAATTGTATAGCAAATCAGGCTATATGACGGTTCCATGTAGGATACAGGTTTGATTCCTGTTGGAGGACATATTTTCTATGAAAATTTCTCACCGGCAAATGTTGTTACTACTGTCTATTATAAACAGAGCATTTACTTAAATATTTGTATCTATAAAAGTAACTTATAAACAATAAAAATATATATATATATATATACACACACACACACACACACACACACACTGTTTCTATACAGGAGACAGTGAAATGAAAAAGCATTCCAAAGTGAAAGTGAAAGTAATCCAGTTTGGACCTCCCTCTCACTGTGAAATGCTCAAGAGCTGCATGATGAGAACAGCTGAGACTGCTACAATTTGTTCTTCATCTCCACTCTTTATTTTTTACACACACTCCATACAACTATTCGATGTCCTCTGCCTGCTCTTACTTGGTCACTAAATTTAAAGATATATTCTTTTCAACAAAATTAGCATTAAAAGCGCTTCAATCCAATTGATGGAATTTTTAATACCCCCTCCATTTCATTTTATTACAATAGAAATCCGTATGTAAGAATGATTGAAATGAATACAGCAATTGTCATTTGGAAATGTTTATTTCTTTTTGCTTGTCTGTTTTTCAGCTGTTTTCTTTTTTTCTTCTTCTTCATATGGATTGTTTTTGTTTATCTGTTCCTCCCACTATGTGTTCTCGCGCTTCCAAATTGTTATATATTCTCTCTCTCTTTCTTTCTTTCTTTCACCACATGTTAGTACAGCTTCTTATTAATCTTCTCTTTTTACTTTTCTTTTTACACCCTACTACTACATTTTCTTTCTTTCTGTATTTAACCACGTCAGTACAACTTCTTATTTATCTTCTTTGTTCTTTTTCTTTTTACATTTTCTTTCTTTCTTTTTTCTTTCTATATTTAACCACATCTCAGTTTCCTATTAAACTTTGTTCCTTTTCTTTCTACATCCAACTACTACATTTCTTCTTTATTTAACCATTTGTCAATTTGCCGATACAGTTTTGAATTCAAACATACAAACGTAAAAATTTGATTGTCGTCTCATCTTTTCCGTGTGTACACATGCAATTTTAATCTTTTCTCTTTCACTCCACTCTATTCAATTCTTTACAGGCCTTCATCCATTTCCTTTTGTCTTTTATTGTAGTTTCCTTACTACACGTTACATGACCGACACCTGTCCGTCTCACCTGTCCAATTGATCTTTCAAGCAAATAATTGTTTAGCTTCACCATATCAGATGTTGTTCTTAATAAACAAAACCCAACATAATTTCGTCTTTCTTTATCTGAATAGAATTATAATTTTACTCATAGTTCATTTATAATTGGTTCTTTATTGTTTTTATTTTATCCAATTATAAAACGTCTATATATAGATACGTAGGCTATTTTTATTTGTAAGTCACTAAATTTAATTTTACAAACACCAGTTTTGTAAATATATTTGTTTTCTCTACAACCATTTGATTGACCTCCTTGGTTTTTCATTGGCTTAGCTGCGTCCCATTCAGTCTTTTTCTACTTCTTGTTTTCTATTTCCAGTCAAATTCAGCATCATTTGCTGATTTTTATTTTTCTTTCTCTAATTTCGATTTCGTTTTTTTTTTTCTTTTTTCAGCCAATCCTTTCTCTAACCAATGAACCGCACGACCCACCATCAATTTCGCCCTCATCTATTTCCACACCGCATCTGTTTCTCTTTTTTTACCTTTTTTTTTTTTTTTTTTTTTTTTTTTTCTTCTATGTAGCTTTCCCTCTCCACTACTCCCGATTGCGTTTTACTTTTTTCTCAATTGTCTTACTTTAACGTACGTCTTATTTTCCACCCACATACGTAAACTCTGACCCGTCTTAAGATGTAATATTTTTTTTTTTTTTTGGTAATTTCCTCCAAATTATTTATATCTGATTATCCTTTCTCTCGTAAACGCCCACCCCTTTTCGATTAGCTTTGAATCGAACATCCAACTCACAACATTTTCTCTTTACTTTACTTATCCCTATCGTCTTCATCATAACCCACCATCACCCACACAACGATTTTATTGATTTTCTTTTACCTCTCGGTAATATTATCCATTAATTTGATGGCTA